CTGAGTACATCTTATAGGAAATATAAGCACATGATTCATCCTTTAAAAAATGTAAACCTGAATGCTGTTTTCATGAGAGCTATACATAGCTAGTCCTGGTGGGCTGTTTTGGGAATGTAGTAGGAGTAGATAAGACCAATCCTTTCCATGACCTTCAGGCAACAACCCCCTTTGAACAGCTGTGCCCCATTGCGCCATTCTCTTCACCTGGAATAGATGGAACTGCATTCTTTCCAGTGTTAGAAACTGACATATGAAAGCTAGGAGCTGAATGGCACCTTAAACCTAGGTTATGGGCGCAACAATGGAATGTCTAGGCACACTTTTTTAACCACAAGAATACAAAGCTGAAAATGAATGAACTGCAGCTAAAATATTATGTTTGTTTTCCACATGGTCTAGTCCTTCCTTTCCCCACCCACCTAATATCCCTAAGAGCGTCTCTTCTCCAGTCTTCAGAAAGTAGCTGGTAGTGGGGAGGCAGAAAAGGGTCCTCCTTTCTTTCCACTCTTCAGTTTTAATCCAAAATCTTAGGCTTAGTACTGCACCCAGAGCTCAGAAACTACTCGCACTAATGAAATTTTCTGTCGCAAAATTCTCCTAGAACAATGGGTGTTTCGAACACTGGTTCTTTCCTATTGTTTCAAGATGCCACGTAGCGCATCTTCCCCACATCATTCTTCCTTGCTCTCCCACTTGCTTATGATGTGCTTTTCTGGATTGACTGTTGAGATGCTACCTGGTTTTATAACTTAATTCATGCAGCTAGGAAAAACAGATCAGTGTCGGCGTTTCAAGCTTTTGACCTGCTTCTGCTTAGGGAAGAAACATTGCATCTAACTTTCTGATCTACAATATTCTGCTCAGCCAGAGAGACTTTTACAAACTGTATCAAACTGTATCAAAGTGCTGAGGCAGACGCACATGAGAGTACATTTCACTGAAGTTAGTTGGATTTAAAAGCTAGCAAGTTTAAAACTAGGTGGTAGAAGACGTTACATATGGATCAGTACTCCATCTTTTTTTTTAAGTGTGCAGTTTGTATAATAAAATGTCATCAGCTATCCCATTCACAAAATCAGGTTTTTTTCCTTTGTAAAAGCAGATGGTGTGGGGAGTTCTTCCAAGAAAAACTGGTTAGTACTTGCCTTAAACAAAACTATATATCAACAATAAATAAGAAGTTATTTCATAACTTTGAACATATAAAAATGTATGCCTTAAGCACTGTTGCACAAGGGTTCCACTTTGGAGTTCAGTGTGTGTCATGACAAAATTACAAATGTATTCTCCTATTCCATGACAGGTTAAGTATACCCAGGAGCATTTGGTGAGGGACTTTGTCAAAAGCCCCCCTGCTTCTGATTTATTTAAATATATTTTTAAAATTGGTGTCAATGCTTTAGTCAATATACTCCACTACCCCCCCCTTTGCATCTCTTAATGTCCAACTGCATTCCTTTTTCAAAATTATTTCCCTTCCTTTCTGTTCTCCATTTGGGCCAGGCTTCCATTTTATGAAAAAGCGATCGGTTAGTTTCCTTGACGATGCTTTTTAAAAACTAGCTTGATGGCAATTTCTTGATCTGTGCTGTAAATTCTAGCTGAGCTTATGGTTTTGAATATCCTCATATTGAATCCTTTTCCCTTTCCATTTCAGCTTCCTTTTTACCAATCACTTCATTTTTGGAAAGTTTCTTTTTTTGAAGTGAACTGTAACTGTCTTAGCGTTCCTCATTTTACAGAGGGGTAAAATGACAAAGGAGAAAAGAGAATACACCAGGAGGAAGGTGACCAAAGTCTATCTAAATAAAAAACGTCTTTAACTGAAAAACTGCAGCACTCGGGTGTCAGGACTCTTGTTTCTGTGTCAAAGGTCAGACGGAGACTTCTGATATAAAGCTGTCCCTGTAACCCCCATGTCTGTTTGGGGGGGGTATGGGTTTGTTCGTAGGGACGCGGGTGGCGCTGTGGGTAAAACCTCAGTGCCTAGGACTTGCCAATCGCATGGTCGGCGGTTCGAATCCCTGCGGCGGGGTGAGCTCCCGTCTTTCGGTCCCAGCTCCTGCCCACCTAGCAGTTCGAAAGCACCCCTAAGTGCAAGTAGATAAATAGGTACCACTTTATAGCAGGAAGGTAAACGGCGTTTCCGTGTGCTGCGCTGGCGCTGGCTCACCAGAGCAGCTTTGTCACACTGGCCACGTGACCCGGAAGTGTCTCCGGACAGCGCTGGCTCCCGGCCTCTTAAGTGAGATGAGCGCACAACCCTAGAGTCGGACACGACTGGCCCGTACGGGCAGGGGTACCTTTACCTTATGGGTTTGTTCTGTTTTTGTTTGTTCTTATTACATATTATGTGTTTTTATTTTGTATTTTTATGCTGTGAACCACCCTGAGATCCTCAGACAAATTAAATAAATAAAATGTAGGACACAGCTTGTGTCCTAAAAGGATATTTTGTGAAGTTTAAAACTGAGTGGCTGGTGCCTTGTTCAGTCCTGTATCTTTGTTACCTTTGTCCTTTCTATATTGCCTTTTAAGATACATAATGTCATCAGGACAGAAGCAGTCTTCTCTGTTCAGTCAGCAAATATGTTGGTCTGGTACAGGGGTAGGCAACCTAAGGCCTGGGGGCCTGGATGCAGCCCAATTGCCTTCTCAGTCTGGCCCGCGGACAGTCTAGGAATCAGCATGTTTTTACATGAGTAGAATGTGTGCTTTTATTTAAAATGCATTCTGGGTTATTTGTGGGGCATAGGAATTTGTTCATCCCCCCCCCCCAATATAGTCCATAAAAAATATTTATATCAAGGACACATTGGCACTCTTTGTCTAAACGAAGCTGTATTTTACACTCTGAGCCAATGGTAACACATGTGTCCATTTTCAATTTCTTCTAACTTTGTCTCCTGGACATTTTAATGATATTCTAAGCTCTAAAACAAGACTTAGATGTCAGAGGAATATTCAAATGGAATTTCTCAAATTATATTCCTCTTATCCATTTTTAATGCTGCATCAGAATATCATGGCTGTATCCTCAGTTGAGGGTGAATGTGAAATGCTATCTGACTAATCTCCTTGTGCTGCCACTGCTTATTAACTCTGAGAATTGTGTTTAGTGCATTTGCCCATTTTCCTATACATGGCTGAAAGGTAGTGCATTTTGTGACAGGTGACAGACAATTTGTGTTGATTTCAGTAAGCCATTTCCCCCTTTATGGGAAAGATTTAGAAGACTGCAAGCTCTGTAATCAATCCTGGTTTTTTTAATTACTTTGGCAGACTTGGATTGGGGCCAACGGTCTGTAGACCACGGCTGGTCTTGATAGCCAGTCCATAATTGTTCTTTCCCATTCTTTCCTGATTTCACACTGGCAACAAGCAGTCTTGCTGCTTATTTAGTATCTCTGGAGTATAAAGTGAAGACAGGACATTTCTATAGGCTCAGGGAAAGGGTTGGGAACTGCTTGATTCTGTGCACTAGCTAAACAAAAGGTTTATTCGCCAGTGATTAAGTGTATTTGCAGATCTGTGTTCAAGATGAGCATCTTTACATAGGGCCATAGGTCCAAGGCTTGAGGATACCAAGTGGGGATATTTTTTTTCTTTGAACGTTGAATATGTGCGCGCACACACACACCTTGCCCATGGAGAATAATAAAGATAGGACGGTTCATTTGCTCAAAGTGCCTTGTGTGTCTATATATTGTTGCTTGCATGCATGGTAGCTTAATGCATTCACTTGCCTTTATGTTGACTTAACCAATTCCTACCTTTCCCGTACCTGGGTTGTCATGCGGTCAATTTAGAAACCTGTTGCTTTGAGAGAACTCACAGACTTGTACTTTGTGTTCCCTTTACTCCCCACAAGCAGATTCCATTCTCCTCCTTCCTGGCTTTCTCTCACCATAGTTCACAATGGGTGGAATCAGGCAAAGTGTGTTTGGTACTAACCTGGATTATATCTGACTGGCTCTCAAAACATCAGTGTGTAGTGTCTGCTTAGTTTATTGCAGTCTCTGATATATATAAGCTACTCATTTCTGAGGAAGTTTCTACATTTTTAAGGAAAATGTAACTTGTAAGCTCCAGTACATATGCACACGTTTCAGCTTACAAGCCTTTTCATTTATGTGGATGGTGACACAGGCTTATTGGAAAAGTTTGCAAGCAGCAAAGAAGTGTTGGATTGGTAATTGGCTTGTTAGTGATGTGTGAAAACTTGCAAGTTTTACAGTAATGAATATAACCTTGAATTTCTCAGCTATTTGTCAGCCTGTATGTTCCTGTGAAATAGTCTTTTGGGAAAATGGAGTGCTACATGGAGAAGTCTCAGAATGGATTTATTTTTAAACGGCATTCAAAAGATGTTTTGTTCTTGAATAGCATCTTCTATTTGAGCATGCACTATTCTCCAGAAAGAAGAACCAGGAGAGTAACTGGTGGAGCAAAACCCAGGCAGTTTGGGCTTCAATTTAGTTCAACTTCATATTGCAAAATATTGGAAAGAGTCTTGCTTTTCTGCTAATTTTCTGCATGTCCATACTAAAACACAACTGCTAAATACTTTGACTTCTATAATGTAATATATAAAATAGAAATAAATTGCGCCAATGCAGCATGTGTTATTGGTACATTTCTGTCCACAATAAGGTATTAAATAATTGTGATACTTCTAAAATTGCATTGATAGAATAAAATAGTTGCAGCTGAAGGACTTGCTCAGATTTATTTTTTTAAAAAGAGTTCTTGACTTTTGTACCTCTAAACCATTGGGTAACTAACGAATGCAAACTTTTGAATAGGGTTCTGTGACTGAAGTCTGTGTCTTGATCAGAGTACAGTTGAACACATCATATGATATAATTCACTGTATTTCATTCTGATCAGAGAAGAGGCTGGGTTGTCTTGCATTTGACTTGTAAAATGTAAGCAATTGTGATGTGAAATATGTACTTTTGACATCAGAAACCAATTTTAATGTTTTTCCATTCTAGGCTTTCGTTACAACTGCACAGTGCATGGTCGTGGAAAAGAATTTAGGCTTTAGTCCTGGAAGACAACTATCTATCATGTGCTAGGATACAAAGTTTGTGGATACTTTTACTTGTGTGCTTCTGGATTATAAAGAAGGAAAGTGAAAATGGGGAGGAAGAAAATACAGATCACAAGAATAATGGATGAACGGAACAGACAGGTGAGAAATAATAATGTTAAGCAAAGGTAGTCATTTCATATGGCTTCCCCAATAACAGAGTCCTCCTCATCTCCTTTTCCTCTTGTGCCATGGCTATTAGATTGTAAGCCTGTTTGGAGATTTGTCTTACTTTTATTGATCTTATGCAGTATAAGGTGCTATGGAAGGTTTTTTGGCTGAAGAATAACTTGATTTAACGGCATCTGGCTCCACACACTTTGTTGACAGAGCAGATACTGTTTGAGTCATGTGTGAGTCATGTGACCAAACGACCCATAAGAAAAAGTATAAAATATAGAATAATAACTAAGATCTCACAATCCTAGCAGTTCTAAGCCATGACAACATTTAGATCAGTGATTTCCAAACTTGGTCCTCCAGCTGTTTTGGGACTACAATTCCCATCATCACTGACCACTGGTCCTGTTAGCTAGGGATGATGGGAGTTGTAGTCCCAAAACAGCTGGAGGGCCAAGTTTGGCCATCACTGATTTAGATATTTTTTACCAGCTTTGTAAATTGCATCTTCCTAATATTGTTTTTTAATTGGTTGGCCTCTTTTGTTGTCTGCTCCCCACCCCCAACATATTAATCTGGCAAAATTCCATTGACACGGATACAAATTTCCATTGACACGGATACACCAATCTATAAGAGAGGCTCCAAAGCGGGCCCTAGTACTCTTTTCTCTCAAAGTTTACTACCAAAAAGAGGTTTATGCCAGCTTCCTGTTGAAACTATCGACACTTACTGACTTAAGGGGGTGGTGGTGGAAGATATCAGTTTAACCTATTGGCGAAATCAAACACAAACTTGTATCTTTTATGGGGGAAACCTCCAGCACCTGACATTAAATCAGCATTTTAACTGTATTTGTTCAGTAAGATGAATACAGTAGTTAGGAAACTTTTCATGTTTTCAGCCAGTTATTGTTTGGAAATATGCTGTTGCTATTATTTAGCTGTACTTTTATTATGTGTGTTCCTTTACAGACACAAGATAGTGGCAGCGCTATCTGTCTTAAACTATTATTACTAAGTACATAGTGAGGGAAGTCTTAAAACATTCCTCTTCAGATAGGATTATACCTCAGCTCTATCCTGTATACAAAGTAACTGATACTCTGGGGGATTATAATTAACATGAGACTGTCATTGTAGTGGTAATTACAAACTCTTATCTGCCTGAATGAGCTGTAGGCCATTTATATAATTGAGCTAGATGGAATAAATGGTTGTAACTGGGCTATCAAAGGGACTCAGTGTCAGCATCATCAAATAGTCTTCTTTGTTAACAATTAAGAGAGAACTTTTCCCCATAAGAGAACTTTTCCCCATGAATTAAGTGTATAAAAGCATTTTGCAAATGCTTATCAGGTTTGTGACCTTATAAGAATTTTTTGTTATGTTTTTACAAAGCCAGAACATTAGATTCTGTAAACATATTAAAGCCCCTGATGGACTTAATAAAACACTGAGAAGGCTTGCCCTTCACTGTTGTGCAAAGTTGAAATCATTTTATGCTTTCTCAAATGCATTGTTCTGGTTTTAGATGTTTTTATTGCAAAAGAGGAAAAATTGGCTGTTCACTTGAAGCTTGGGTATAGCGGTTCCACTTACGATTCAGTCTAAGATGGATTGCTTTAGTGTGGGCAAATCTCCATACAGTGTCAGTGAAATGGTTGGGTATGCAATACATGTGGGTGGGCTGAGATTAACTACTTGTCCTGAAGAAGTAACTGCTTGTCCTGAAGAAGAAAGCTGCACTTGAGGCCACCCTTATAAGTTACTCAGTGGGTGGGTGACATCCACTGCTTTACTTATCTAGACCAGTGTTTCCCAACCTTTTTTGGGCAAAGGCACACTTGTTTCATGAAAAAAATCTCGAGGCACACCACCATTAGAAAATGTTAAAAAATTTAACTCTGTGCCTATATTGACTACCATATTTTTCGCCCCATAGGACGCACCGCCCCATAAGACGCACCTAATTTTTTGGGGGGAGAATAAAGAAAAAAAAATTTTCCCCTCCCCAGGCACGGGGCAGGCGCGGGGGAAACCCAAGCTTCCCCCGACCCCAGCCCCCAGAACAGCCTGATATCCGCAAGCCTAGGGAGCCACACTGGTCTCCCCAGGCTTGCGGAGAGGTGCGTGAAGCCCGGGGGCGCTCTTCAGCGCGCACCAGGCTTCGGGATGCAGGCAGCTCTGCACTACCCTCCAGAGCCCCGTGCGGCTTCGCGCTGGGATCCGGGGGGTGGCGCGGAGCTGCAAGAAGCCCTGGAGCGCAGGCAGCTTCGCACCACCCTCCGCAGCCCCGCGCGGCTTCGCGCCGGGATGGGGGGTGGGTGGCGCGGAGCTGCAAGAAGCCCTGGAGCGCAGGCAGCTCCGTGCCACCCTCCGCAGCCCCGCGCGGCTTCGCACCGGGATCCGGGGGTGGCGCGGAGCTGCAAGAAGCCCTGGAGCGCGGGCAGCTCCGCGCCACCCTCCGCAGCCTCCTACGGAGGGCGCCCCATGCTCCGCGCTGCTGGCTGCCGCCCGCAAGCCGTGCACGCGGGGGGGAGTTCCCCTGGACGCGCAATGCTTGCGGACAGCTGCGCGAAGAACGGGGCGTCCTCCGAAGGACGCCCCGCGCTCCGCGCTGCAGGCTGCCGCCCGCAAGCCTTGCGCGCTGGGGGGGGGGAGTTCCCCCAGGCGCCCAAGGCTTGCGGACAGCTGCGCGAAGCACGGGGCGTCCTCCAAAGGGCGCCCCGCGCTCCGCGCTGCAGGCTGCCGCCCGCAAGCCTTGCGCGCCGGGGGGGGAGTTCCCCCAGGCGCCCAAGGCTTGTGGACAGCTGCGCGAAGCACGGGGCGTCTTCCAAAGGGCGCCCCGCGCTCCGCGCTGCAGGCTGCCGCCCGCAAGCCTTGCGCGCCGGGGGGGGGAGTTCCCCCAGGCGCCCAAGGCTTGCGGACAGCTGCGCGAAGCACGGGGCGTCTTCCAAAGGGCGCCCCGCGCTCCGCGCTGCAGGCTGCCGCCCGCAAGCCTTGCGCGCCGGGGGGGAGTTCCCCCAGGCGCCCAAGGCTTGCGGACAGCTGCGCGAAGCACGGGGCGTCCTCCAAAGGGCGCCCCGCGCTCCGCGCTGCAGGTTCCCGCCCCCCGCCCCGCTTCGGAGCACCGGGAGAAGCGATCTCCCCGCAGCCCCTTGCTTCAAAAGAGGTCCGGGGGCAGCGCGAAGCGCTTCCCGCTGTCCCCGGACCTCTTTTGAAGCAAGGGGCGGTGGGGAGAAGCGATCTCGGGCGCCGCGCCGCCCCGCCTCTCCCGCCTCCCTCCCACGGCACACCAGGCAAGGTCTCACGGCACACTGGTGTGCCGCGGAACACCGGTTGGGAAACACTGATCTAGACTGTTCCTTCTCTCCACCCTACCAGTTGCTTATCATCTCCCTTACTAATCTAACCCCACCACTGGAGCATTTGTTAGGGTGTTTAATGAGACACCCAGGTTTATATACTGTATTGGCTCTGATATAAGCCTCACCTGAATATAAGCTGCACCTTTAAAATTCAAGGGGGGGGGAGAAAAAAAGACAATACCCAAATATAAGCAGCTCCCTTAAAATTCAGCAGGCGCTCACACCCGTTCTGTTTTACTGTATGTTTGTTTCAGCAGTGATATCGTAAAAGCCAGTTTTTGTAAGGTCGTGAATTTAAGCCACACTTTAACTTTTCACGGTCAGAATTTGGGGGGGGGGAGCCTTATATTCAGGTACTGCCTGCCATATAGTTTGAGCCAAGTTGATGGTTTTGCTGTTGATGTTTAAAGCCCTAAACAATGTGAGACCAGGATACTTTGATGAGTGCCTCCCTGGATCATATTAAATTAATCTTTAAGATCTTAAGAGGAGATCCTGCTAGCTGTTTGATGACTAGTGGATTGTCACTTGAAAATGACTTTATCAGTGACAGCACCCCTCCATGGTCTCTCTCAGGTAATTTGTCAGGTGGTGACAGGAATGATTTTTAAAAGCCTTTTGAAAATTTAACTTTAAGCAAACTTCTCTGGACTCGTGATGCTTACATTTAAAATTTTTATTTAGTATACTGCTCAGGTTTATTTGTGATACACAATTGTCTATTTTCTTGTTTTTATTTTATTTTTTTGGTGATTTTATTGAATGTTGTTGGCATTCTTACTGTTGCAAACCATTTATAAACTTTTATTAAGAGATATGCATGGATTACCATGCTGTTCAAATGGTAACTTTATAACACATGGAAACCAAGTTGTGTATAGCTTGTTACCATGTAGTTAGAAGTCACAGGATAAGCCTCAATCTATTGAGAATAGTCAGAGAGCAGGGGTGTGTCTGAGGAACTTGTCACTATGTGATTATGTTGTTATTTTGCCACAATGGAGTGTGTTTTTCCCTGTGAGACATAAGTTGGGTGATTGGCTCGCAGTTGCTGCCCAAACTATGCAGTTTTCTAAAGGCAATTTGAAGCAACTGGCATCCTGTAAGGGTAAAATGAGAAGGTGGGAGGAGAGCCATGTATATCACTCTGTGCTCTTCGGTGGATTAAAAATGTAATGTCTTTTTGGCGCTGAGCAATATATGGATATAGAACTAGATAATACATTTTGGTAAATTTCCTTGTCTGCTATGTGAAGCAAAAGAGAAATTGGGGTTTGGAAGAAGTTTGTTGCAATTATTGTGAGTGCCAGTTAACTGGGTTAGTGCGATTACAGGGGGAATACTTTTCACTTGTCTCCTCTGTATCTTACATACAGTCTGACCCTTAAGTATAGTAGTAGTTGTCCATTTCATTGTGTAATACCTACCTTAAGTAACAGCAAAAGTAAATTTGTTGCATTTCACTAATTTCAACTCTCCTTGAGCTGACCTTTTACATAAGCATAGTCTGTGTTAATAAACTTCTTATTTACATCTATATACCTTTTCTATGCTGCAAGCAGTTTTACATACAAATATCACAGAACATTTAAATATGGCAATTAAACATAAG